CGGGCACAGGCGGGTGCGGGGCGGTGAGCCGCTTTAGGAGCGGACAGGCTTCCTGCGGAGAAGAGCAAGAAGATGACTTTTTGTGCGTCACACGAAAGCAAACAGCCCCCCGGCGGGAAGAAGCCCTCTCGGAGGGCACGCGTCTGCCTGCTGGAGAGGAGCTGCCAGGCTGGATGGAGCTGCTCTGCTCTAGTGAGCTCGGCGCAAAGTCCGAAGAGTTTGTAGGGTTTTGAACTTTCTAAAATTCAGACTGAGAGGTGGATACATAATTCCTGAAGCTGGCAGGTAGGTACGGAATCACAGCAATACGTGCCTCGTAAAGGAGAGCATTGATTATTTTATTCCTCCTCTTTTCTAGCTATTCATAGCAAATTAATGATTTTTTTAAATATTGGTCTGCGTAAAACAAATAGGGTTTTTTTTTTTTTGTAAAGTGGATGAGGACAGTTAAACAAGTGTGTCAGGAACAAAGATGCTGTTTTGTGCATTTTGTTCCAATAACACTAAGAAATTTGACGGTACCTGACCCGTTTGTCCCAGTATGTATGCAGCTTGTTGTACTAAAGCTTACTTTTTAAAAAAAAAATAAACAGCAATTTATTTGAGCATTTGCAATTTATTTTAGGAACACCATTCGGTTGGGTTTGGGTTGGTTTCCTTTTTGCGTTATTTACCGCTCACTGCATTTCCCCAAGAAAATGAAGACCATTAAAATCCTATGGCATTTCCATGATTGGTGATATTTTTAGGCTCAAATCCACTGATTTTTCTGTTGTAAAAGCCCCTTTGCTGACATACTCGTCGTCATCAACCGCTGCGGTAGGTAAAGAAGGAAGACCCGCTCGGAAGCGAGGGCACTTCACGGGTAGGAGGAAGTGAGACGAGAGCAGTAAGTCAGTTCTCCCCTAGCATTTCACTTCTTTCTCTAATAGGATTAACGCTGGAGCGTTAAATAAGGCAGAACGGGACCCAGCTTCTCTCTTCGCCCCGCGCAGAGCAGCTCTGCCCGCCCCACGTCGCGCCGCCTGCAGCGGCCGCGCCGGGGT